TGTGCTAAGTGAAATAAGTCACTTGAAAAACCGAAATGATGACGTCATTGAGGCTATCTAGAGTATTTAGTCTTATGAAACAGTTGACTTAGCGTTTATTTTAAAAAAAAAATCGCTGATCTTTGCATACAATTTACAGTATTGAGATTTAAAGGACTTAAGAGAAATCTCTGCCTTCTTCCAAGCACAGGTAAACTCAACTCCCTACTTTGGGACTGGGTTTGTGTGGGAGAGAAGGCTGAAATTAGGTATGAGACACAAAATACCGGAATCTCGACTTGGAGGGGTCCTAAAGTGCAGCGCGGGAACAGTTAGGGCTGACGGGAGCTCCATAAGAGGAGCTTAAGACCAACCGGAGCTTCCTCTCCCTCTTGCCCTCCCCACCCTTTGGGGAAAGTGGCTGGATCACAAGCGGGTGTGAGGAATTCTGGCGAAAGTGGCGGCCATTCGCTCTGATGAATCCAATGAGATGTGAGTGTCTCCGCCTTTAACCAATAAGATGCGCGCCGGCCCATCCTTCTCTGCTTATTGGCCACTGCACCCCCGGGGTGCCCAGGGCCTGCGGGGGCGTGTCAGAACTCTCGCGATGGTGCAGGTTCTTGTCTTCCATGGTCTGGGTCCTGCGTACGCGGAGGTCTCCACCTGGACCCCACGTCCAGCCTGCAGTGATGGGTGCGCCAGGCGCCCGCCACGCTGGTAGCCGAAAGCAGTGGGGTTTTGGGTTCTGTTTGCTGCCTCCTTTACTTGGCACGCACCTGCCTTCTCCGCGGGCGTGGAAATTCGCCGTCAGGGGCGCTCCGCTGCCACTTGGTAGACGGACCCCGAGGTGGTAACGTGCAACCCTGGCAGGTTGGGCCCTGCCAGGTACCACCAGTACTGGAGTAACCTTGAAAGGCACCATTGAGTTAAAAGGTGAATTTCTGGGCTAACGTTTTAGTGCATGCAGTAATGACAGCGCAACTTGTAGGGGTTAACCCTCCTACGTGGTGGGCTCGTTTCAAGACTCGTACCTATACCGCTAATTTACGACAGAGTGGCCACATTTATTTTTGAAACTTGCTTCTAACGCAGACATATTAAAGCAGACCCATTCAGATCCAAAAAATGTAATGCGGATTCTTTCGGTAAGGAACATATCAACATGTATGATGTCGTGCAGGTGGGGTATGCTTAGCCTTTCATTAAGGTCTCCAAAGATTTAATTTGCTTTTGACTAATTTTTCATGGATGGCTTTGTGAAGTCAGCAGTGATTGTTGTGGGGAAATGTTATAGCATGTTCAGCTGGCCATAGCAATGTTTTCAACTATGTGAGTAGATGTGTATAGGGAGATGCCCTTCTTCACCATAAAAAGTTATATCTAGCAAAGAATTCACATTAAACTTTGTATAAAGTTAAAGCAATGTGGAGGGTCAATTGTTCTTCAAAGACTTCTCACTGGCTTTGCAGGTGCATGACCTAAGCAGAACAAAAACCTGGAGAGTTGAATGTGATAAAGTAGACAGCATAGAAGTAGACATTTTAGAAGAAACCCAGCAAACTGTGACCTTAGAATGAGGTCCTAGCCATGGAACATTTCTACCTTATTTCTAGATGTTCAGCTCATCTAAGTAATCAGGTTACCTGCAAGCTAGGCATTTAAACCCTCAGTAGGAAACTAGAAGTCAGTGTGGCTACGGAAACAGCACAAAAAGGAGTATGAGAGTGGCCACTTGAGACAAGAAATATTTAGACTTGCAATAATGAAACTTCCTTTTGTAGTGAGAGATTAAATGCAGATACTGAAAACAGGTGCAGAAGAGTCTGTAAAGAATGATGGGCAGATTAAGTATAAATACATTCTTCATTTCCATTTCCCCCCTGAAAAAATAAGGTTGATTTTGGTCAAAAGATCACAAAACTTTTCTATTCTTTACATAGTCTAACTTCCAACTTTAAATTGCTCTATTTATGTAAATTATATAAATCCATATATAGTTTATATCTATATAACTATAAATAGAAATATATAAATCTATCTACATAAGCTGTTTAGTCCTGGAATTTGAAGGTAAATAGGACTGGTTCAAGGCTCAGTGGAAGAATGAGATACGATAGGGTGAGAAGAGTCAAAAGGCCTTATTCTCAGCAAGACACAAAACAATCTTTTCAAGTGACTGAATTTTGATGTTGTAACTTTCTATGTGTATTGCTGACTGTGGCTGGTCATCTACACTTCAACTGGAAGCAACATTCATTAAAGGGTAATCTTTACAGCGAATATTCACAAGGCTACACATTAGTCAAGTGCTAATTTTGCTGAAACACTGATTAAGAAGTATCTAGCAATTCACAGTTGCTATACAGATGAAATAAGTGAAGTTATTTGCGTAACTTTTTGATAAAACTAGGCAATCTGGGTTTTGCCCTGATTGCTTAGTCACATTTTAGTTTAAAGAGCTACTTTTCCCCCAAATATGAGCTTTCTCATTCAGAAACTTGGGGTCTTTGCCTTCATTTCCATTTCAGGCTGTAAGGAAACAAACATCAAAACTACACTATGGCAGTCACCTTGAGAAGACTAATTTGTAATAGCTATAGTTAGTTTGTATTTCATGGGTTATAAACCAAAATGAATTGAAGTCGTAGAAAAAGAATCTCACTTTAATGGTATTACCTCTCGGATACAGCTGTGTGGCCCACAGGCAAACATGAGTGTCTTCCTATTGTCCTCATTTTCAGTACTGGACTTTTATTTGTATCTGGTGGTTTGTGCTGTGTAAATGAGTTGCTAGAAGTATACATGACACTCCAATAAACCTTAAGCTGTCTTTTATTGAGGCATTTGTTAATCCACATTTTAGCCACATGTTCATGTCTCTCATGATTTAATCTTTCCTAAATAAATTTTAACTTTATAGCTATAACTCCCTACCTTTAAGGCACTAATAAAACAGTGCTAAGAGGCAATGTGTTGAAAGGCTCCAGCCTAGCTGTATCTGTAATCTTAACCTATCCTATCAGTCCATCTGAGGTTGCTGTAATATGGCCACAGACCTGGCTTAAAAGTTTATTCTCTTACAGTTTAGGAGGCTAGAAATTAGAAAAATCATTTCTACTGGTGAAGTTTAAATGCATGTTCCCCCAGGAGAATAGAAATCTGTTTTTCAAATATTTTTTCAGCTTCTGTTGGTTGCCACATTTTCAGCTTGAAGGTGTCACTGCTCCAATCTTTAAGGTCAACACCAAGCCTCTCTTTTATCTTCACAAGCCTCCTCCCTTGTGTACAGCAATCTCCCTCAGGTCTCTTCCTGCCACGTGATTGGATTTAGGGTCACCAGAGATTATTTGGGATTAACCAGCCTCTCAAGATTCTTAAACTAATGACATCTATAAAAATCTCTTTGCAAAAAAGTTGACATTTACAGGTTTGGGGTTAGGGCCTGATCATTGGTATAAACAATAAATACATGATCAATGGAACCTAATCAAAGCCCAGAAAAGAAACCACTAGCAACCCAGTACCTAATCCATGATAAAGCATCCATGACCATAAAGCCAGGAAAAGAAAGTCAAAAAATTACAAAGCTCTCTACAGTGAAAGAAAATATAAGACTAAGTAGACACCCAGTGAATGGCCAAAAAATTCTCATGTAAATAAGGAATATCTAAAATATACAAAAACACATGAACATGTGGCTAAAATGTGGACTAACAAAATGGGCAGCAGATGTGGATGGCCCAGAGGATATCCAAAGGGCAAAGGACATGGAAAAAAGCTGATCATTTCCAGTAAGATGCAGGTCAAAAAAAACCCCAATTATTTCCACCTACCTATGAGGATATAGCATATATAAGACCTTAGCAACAAATGTTGAAGATGTGGAAAAGGAACGTTAATTACACTATTGGTGGGAATGTGATTGACACACACATTGTAGAAAACAGTCTGGATTCACCTTAAATTGAATATGGAAATACTGTCACTTGGTAATCTCATTTTAAGGCATATACCAAAATTTCAATGGCAAATAAAAAAAAGGACTTACATTTTCTGTGTAACAGGAACATTATTTGAAAGTTAAGTTATGGAAGCAGACTAAATAGACAACTGGAACAAGATATGGTACAGCCATATTGTGGAGTCATCATTCAACATTAAGATTAAGTGCCGGGGCCTCCCTGCTAGTGGTGCAAGGGGTTAAATTGCAGCAATACAAAGCTATCTGTAGTCGGACCTCTCCTATCTTGCAGTTGCTTCTCTCAGCAGTGCATTCCAGTCAGAATTGTGTGCAATAAAGTAAAACACTGTGGATTTGATAACATCTTAAAACTAGTGGGTTAAATATCCTGAGGGATGTTTAAGAGGGAGATGTGAAGGGATGAGAGATAAGGGGTGGTGGTGGCGGGGTTAAGTGAATGTGGGCACTTAGCACTTTAGGAAAAAAAATGTTGGGGAGAGCTTTTCTTCAGCCTATTAACAATCTCTCCTAAGTTCTGAGTTTATCAAAACACTTAAAGTGGTCATACCTGTGACTAATGGCCCACTGGACAGTACCATCCTAGTGTCTCTGCAGCTCTGAGTTCTAGACTGCTAACACTACTCTCCACCTGGTCAGCCAGCCAGCCACCAACTCCCTGGGGGCAACGAGCCACTACCAGGACCCAGGAGTAGAGCCATTTGTGAGGCCAGTGGCTTTTATGTCTTTGGTGAATCATCTCACATACCCGCAGCCCCCTGTGGTCTGTACCCCATTCCTTGTATTGCATTAAAAAAAAAATTTCCACCTCAGCCCTGAATACAGATTATGAAATCTGCCCCCTTTAAGGTCCCTTCTGCTTGAAATTTATCTTCCCAGGACCTCTGCACTTGTTTTTCCTCTGCCTGAAATGTAAATGCTTGTATAGAAAGGGATGTCATGTAATAAGCATTACAATGATGCCAAAATAATCATTAAAAATACCTTTATTTAAAATTTCTGAAAAAAAAAAAAAAAAAAGTATTTTATAGACATTCAGAGACAGAACGAACTTCTAGAATATCCTGGACTGTTTAAGTATTTTTCTACATCTCATTGTGCTACATTCATTCAAAACATCCAAAGTACAGAGAAACAATTCCTCTTGGTGGCAAAATCTGTATTCTTTGGAGGTTCGCTCTAATTACTTACCAAGAACAGCCTACATTCTTAACTCTACTGTGGTTTCCTCCCCACACTGGCCTAATGTATTTAGATGTATTTACTGTCACAATATGACACTCAATCTCAGGAGAGCTACGTGAATTTCCAGAGATCACAAACGTTCCTTGCATAAGACTCTTCATGTATGAGCCACTATCTAACCCCAGTTCCTTCCTCTGTAAATGGGAGAACAGGGTCATAGAGCTGGGGATAAATAAAGCATGTGTATAATACCAACCCTCTAACTCCTGGGAAATTACATGGTTGCTACAACTTAGGAAACAGTCTGACCACATTAGGCACGTGTATACTGTAAACTGTAGAATAAGTCAAAATACCAGCAACAGAGCATCCTAGCTTCAATGGCTAGAACTTGCAGTTTCAACCTATAAAAGAAAAAAAGGAAAAGTTGTAAATGACCTTTTAAATAGATATAAATTCAAAGTATATTCAATTTGTCTAAAAATCCTATCATATGGATTCCCCCCACCGTCAAAGAAAACTAAAGTGTTCAAATTCCTTTATCTGTTTGGAAACACTAACTCCAGGAGTGGAAAAGCAAGCCTGCAGTTATCAAAGCTAAAGCTATGTTTACATTCATCACTTTTCTATGAGCATAAATTTCAGATGTGACTCCAGACAGGATCCAAAGAGGAGTTTTACAAGCTCCTCTCTGGGTTTTATGGAGACTTACTTTACCCTTCTGTGTTAGCCTCTTAAAGCACTGTATCAACCTTAAAAGGGCACAGGAAAGGGCAGGCAATCTGGGTTTTTAACAGACTTCTCTATTTCCTTCATTCAACCAGTAGTCGCGGATCTCAGCAAGTTTCTTTGAAAAGTTGGCAAGCCCATTGGAAACAGTTGTTTTGCTGGGTGGTGGCTCTAAGTGCATCAAACTGGGTTTATTTAAATCTACATTAAAAGAAAAAAAATCTACAAAGTGCCAGCAATATCTCTGCTGTTAACACAGGTGTCTCAGGTGACCACTTCAAGTTCCTCTGGTCCAGCTCCAAGGGCCTACGCCCTTAATGAGCGCGCAGCACATAAGGCAGCCGGATTTCCGGTGCAGACAGATTTAAGCGCACGTGGCAACAGGGAGAACTCGATTTTCTCGGATGGCTGCAGCGGAGCTGCTTCTGAGCCATCTTACCTTTTCGGATACAAAAGGGCAAAAGCCAATTGTCCATCTAAGGGAAAACCAGATTCTGACTTGGCACCAAACACGCGCCCGGACCGCTCCGGTCGCCATAGGTCACGTGCTCAGCACTCCGGCCGTTAGTTACGCGTTCATTCAGGGCCGGCACGTACCTGGCTCACAATCTGGCCGCTGCACCCCGGTGGGCGTTGTAGACAAACTCCAAGGTCGGTTTTTCGACGTTAATGCAGCCGCAGGTCGGGCCCTGAGCCCGCCACAAAGTAGCCGCGGCTGTGCCCTGGGGAAGCAGAGCGCAAACTTGCTACCGCGGCCCAGCCCCAGCCTGCCCGTCCGAAACCCCTGCCCGCAGCCCGTCGCGGGGTCTGTGCCTCGCGCGGCCCCGGGACGGGCACGATCGCCCGCCCCCAGGGCCCGCGAGGGCTGCTCTACCCCTCGGATGTGGCCGCCGGGAGCAGCGGAGCTCCAGGCGGGCAAAGCTTGAGGGGATTCGGGGCGACGCCAAGCCCACCCCGGCCCGCAGGCTGGCAAGCACCACCCCCGTCGCACACAACCGCACTCACGTTCGTCCAGCACGAGTAAGAGGCCGGCGACTCCCGCTCCGCGGGGAAATGCGGAAGGAGGCGCGGGCGGGGCCAGAGGAGGGGCGAGGGGCGGGGCG